AGCACATGTTTAGATAAGTCTAGAACCATTTTTTTAACAGAAGGAAGAAGAGCAAGGTTCTCATATTTATACCGTCGCTCTCTTTTTACTTTAACCCTTTGACCCTTAAACCTTGATCAATGACTACACAATCTAAGCAGGTGTTGAACTTAATATAGTTGTGTGACCGCACAACGCACCAAAAATAGCGTGTGCACACCGTGCATACATCGTTTACACACCGTCCGCACATCGTCCACACATGGTGCGCACAACTGTGCGATTTAACAACCGTTCGCCCCGTTGTGCGCTTCTCTTCGCACAACTGTGCGATTGTGTACAATTTGTAGATCAATATTACGGAATGGAAAAATAAGGAAAGCTCGTATGCAATAATGAAAACTGTATATATTACTGTAATTTTTTATCACAGTCATGAAGATTATGTACAGTTTTACAATGCGTGTAACACAGCATTACAGTGACCGTTGAATGGGTTTGGCTCAAGGTAACAGAACAGGTAAATAACAATTTGATGAGTGACCGGGGTTTTACATGGCCTGTACCTGACTCATAGAGCTGATATGCGATACCGTACATTTAGTATTTGTTATTTGCATTCGGTTTGCCTATAGCCCCCCTTCACCTGGGTTTTCACACCTCTGGCAGACCCCTGTGGCCCTACCCGACGAAATACGTAAGCGCCCGAGGCGGGGGAAAGCTATGGTCAAGGTACATGTACAAAGTGGCTATGTTTACCTGTATACGGGACTGTGTTGTAATTTCATATGTGTCGATTAAGGTCGTTTAAAAAATACCGAAAACACAATTTCTAATTTCAAGAAAGTATAGGCATAAAGATAAGCTTATAAATGCAGGTAGAATATAGAAACATATGTAGAAATCAAGTTTATTTGTTTACACACGCAACCGTATATATTGTTAAGGCAATCCTCAATTTACACCAACCACGATTGTTATCGCACATCTTTCGTTCATCGTGCACACAAATGTTGGCAAGCAATGATCTTCCAACTTTTTATCGTTCGCACATCGAGCACACATTGTTCACACACCGTGCACACATCGTGCGCACACCGCATATCGTGTAACGTTGTGCGATCCCATAACTGTAATTACAAATGTACCATAATATGGTTCATTTTACAAACTAAATATTTGGTTGGTTCGTGAGATAACTTGTACATTTGCATGCTTTTTAGTATATGGATGGACGCCTTGCCCGGGACCTGTGACCCGCTAGCCTATTGATGATGACCACCTGTACATGTACACAAGCTTTTTACTTCAAAAGTGGTAAAGTGTGATCTTCGCCTGTTACATTGTACCTTTGCATCTCTTAATTTGACCGATGACCACCAAAACATAAACAGGTGGAGAATTCAATGTTACCATATTATGATGTAAATATAGAAGGTTGGTTTAGTGGCGCAGTGGATATCGCACTCGCCTTTCACCAATGTGGCAAGTAATAGCCATAACAAACCTTCACTGTCAAAATCCAAGATGTTTGCCTGTCTGCCCCCCGCCCCCTTTTTTCAAAATATCTCCCTTCAAAAAATAATTTGTTCTGAGGAGAGGGATTTCATATTTTTTGAATAATTTCACCAATAACATTCCCCTTTTTGTGATTTTTTCTAACAATTTCTTGACTTGTATATTCATACAATATACTGTGATTCGTGTAAATTTGTTATAATTTTCTCATACGTTCCATTTCTTTTATACACTGTCCAAACTTGCTAGGCAGACAGCTAAAATATCTTTCTTCAAAACCTTATTGCAATCAATGGTGATGTATTTCACCCCAAAAAATAATTTTAAACTATGCTAAGCTAGCCTTCTTGATGAAAGGCAAATGGGGCAAGAATAAAACTGGAAATATCAGTGACAAAAATCTGCAAATTACTGTGAAATCCGATATTTAAGTCGGGCCATAATTTCATGGTTTCCCAACAAAACATCATTTATAGATACATGGATTTGTGGATAACGAGTACTCACTGAAATTGTTTTATATCAAACTTGTGATTATTTCATGGACTTAATATTTCGTGGATGAAGACTAAACCCAGGAAATCAAAAAATGACCCCACAAAAGTTATTGATTTTACAGTATTGTATTCAATCTTATTTTCAACTTTTTAGTTTTATTTAACGATTAGTAACATATTTTTTATAATGGACTCAAAATCTTGATAAGGTCTGTTACATTCTATCATAACATACATCAGAGTTTGTATATTAACTCATTCACCCCTAAAATGTCATAATGAACTATTCCAACCTTTGAATTGGAAGGGTTCAAATGTGTCTTCAGGGGTGAATGAGTTAAGGAGAAGTATAACCGTATTTGGGTCTAAAAGGTGCTCTCGGCAATTAGATATTTGGGGAACAATAAGAATGATTGTGGAGCTTTTTCAATTCACAAATAGACACATGTTTCAAGTTTGTAAATTATGGTCACATAGACTAAAAGTTAGTGGTGGGGCTCTAAATATAAGGGCTTTGGCACTAATTACCTCAAATATGGTATATGTATTTGTATTACAGCGATTATTGGTAAGATTTTGACAGTTTAATAATTAAGGTATTTTAAGACACAAAATACAGTCTTAAAAAACAGTTCAACTTTTTTTTCTTAACTTGAAATTTTTAACATATTTGACCCTTGTGACCTTGAAAGTGAGTCAAGGTCATTTTAAAGAGGAAACCTCATAGCGCTCCATTTCAGGTACTTACTGGTCAAATATCATGACCCTGGGCATTATCAAACTTGAGAAGATTGTTAAATCTTTTTAACCAAAGTTGACATTTGACCCCCAACTAGCACTTTGAGTTGACCTTTGACCTCATTACTGTAATTGAGAAAATGATTCGCACTATATAACATACCCAAGTAACATGACTCTAGTCCAAATGGTTCTTAAGATATTGTTGTTTGAAATTTTCAACATATATGACCCCAGTGACCTTGAAAGTCGGTCAAGATCATGGGCCTTAAGGAACTTGAGAAGAAGATTGGTAAAGCTCATTGACTATCAATTTTCTATATAAACTATAGTAAAGTTTACCCCCTCCCCAGTGGGGAATGACAGACCCTGTGGTCATGAAATTCACAATTTTGTTATAGTATCTTAAGACTATTCCATCCATGAAGAGTATTTGAATCTTCAATTTCTGGTGTCGAGAAGAAGATTTTTGAAATTTGAATCAAATTGACCCCTTTTGGCCCCGCCCATCAGCTCCTGGGAGTCAGCCAGGGTCATTATGTGTATACCGGGAAATGTGAGACCCTGGGGTCATAAAATTCACTTTTTTGGTAAAGTACCTTAAAACCCTTCCATCCATGAAGAGTATTTGATTCTACCATATCTGTGAGTAGACGAGAAGATTTTTCAAATTCAAATCAATTTTACCCCTTTTGGCCCCGCCCATCAGCCCCTTGGGGTCAGCCAGAGTCAAAATGTGCATACCATCAAACTATCATCCTATACTTATAATTATAACCAAGTTTGAATGATTTCCAATGGAAATTAAACAAATTATGCTCAAAATGTCATTTTCCTATATAAACTATAGTAAACTTTACCCCCTCCCCTGGGGTCATGAAATTCACAATTTTGGTAAAGTACCTTAAGAACCTTTCATCCAAGAAGAGTATTTGATCATACCATAAAGGAGTTCTGATACATTTATACAGAGAGTTGAGTTTTGTTTTTTAAACATGAACAGAAATATTATTTAAAGTGACAAAAAATAATAAAACCACCTTATTCAATATCTAGCATACAGATTTAAGACTGAAAAGATCTGATATATTTATACAGAGAGTTGAGTTTTGTTATTTAAACATGAACAGAAATATTATTCAAAGTGACAAAAAATAATAAAACCACCTTATTCAATATCTAGCATACAGATTTAAGACTGTAGCACCTTTGATTCTAAAAAAGGGAAAGGAAGAAATTTAAGCACACTGACTCCTTTTGGCCCCTCCCTACAGCCCTTGGGGGTAAGGCTGGCTTAAAGTTTTCAAAGTATCAAACTGTCAACTCAAGGTTATAATTCCAATCAAGTTATCAACATGTTATATCCAAAGTATCATTTGCCAATAAAAAACATACTAAATTTTGCTCCCCCGCCCCCCTTCCCCAGGGGTAAACGTGAGACCCTAGGGTCATAAATTCACAATTTTGGTAGAGCACCTTAAAACCCTTCCATCTATGAAGAGTATTTGATTCTACCATATCTGGGTCTTGAGAAGAAGATTTTGAAATTTCAGTTAATTTGACCAGTTTTGGACCCACCCATCAGCCCCTGGGAGTCAGTCAGGGCTGATATGTGCAGGAGTCATGGTAGTCTAGTGGTGGGATGCCGGGCTCGTGACCGAAGGGTTGCGGGTTCGAGTCACGGCACGGCACTGTGTTGTATCTTTGAGCAAGATACCTTAATCCGCTTGTTCCAGTCTACTCAGCTGTAAATGAGTACGTGGTTGGGCAGCGCTAGACTTGTAGAATGCTAGCTGTTAGCACCGCAATGGCAGCTCCGGCTGTATGCTCCCCAGGGAGTTGAGAAAGATATTGGATGGTTGCAAAGGCTCTATTACCACGGATAATAATTTGTGAACCGCTTTAAGACAACCTACGAACTAGGTTGTGATAAAGCGGTATATAAGAACCTCAAATTATTATCATTATTTATTATTATACCATCAAACTGGGGGTCAGTAAAGGCTGATATGTGCATACCATCAAACTGCTATCCAATTCTGATAATTAATGCTTACCAAGTTTGAATGAATTACAAAAACGAAATTAAACCAATGCTGGTCCAAAATGTGATTTTCCTACATAAACTATAAACGCACAGTTTTCAGGTGACTTAAAAACCATCTTCCTCCAAGGAGGAATCTCACCAAGTAAGAATGCTTTCCTACAGAAAATTGTTGAAATATACCCAAAAGTGAATTTTCCCTATATAAACTAAGTAAATTTTACCCCCTCCCCAATAAGGAACGGATGGCCCGGGGGTCCTGAAATTTACAATTTTTAAAAAGATCAATTGAGCAAAGCCTAATATGTCAAGGTCATTCGTTTAAACAAACTTGGTAGCCCTTCATCCCATGTTTCTGGCCAAATATCATCACCCTAGGCTTCTTGGTTATTCACACATATTTTAACATATTTGACCCCTGTGACCTTGAATATGGAAAATCATTTATCTGAACAAACTTGGTAGCTCTTCATCCCAGCATGCTTTCTGCAAATATCATCATTCTATGTCTTTTGGTTTATGAGAAGAAGTTGTTTAAAGTAAAAAGTTGACGCCGGACGGATACCGGACGCCACACCATGGAATAGGCTCACTTGCCCTTCGGGCAGGTGAGCTAATAAGTATATACAAGAACTGTATATAGAACAACTCACCTCTTTTGATGACTTCTTGCATGTCTCTTTCTTGTTTCTCCACATATGCTGCCTGATTTGGATTTATCTGCCTAAGGTTTGATATAAATTTTGTATAGCTGCCAATACTTATTATCTTATTGTCCAGAAGATGCTTAAATAGGTCATATATATTAGAGATTTTTTCCATGACAGCAGGGGTAAGTGGGATATCTTTGAAGAGCTCCTTAAGTCTTATTAGGTCGTCTCCAAAAATGTATCCATCAAGATGTTTCACCATGTTGTTGTGAAGATCAATAGCTTCTTCTGGAATGTCTTGATTGGAATCCATGTTGACATCTGTTTCTGTACCTGAAACATAAATATAGCAAATATGATGACAATCATTTGAAACATTCAACAGCAGGGGCTCACATAGATATATCCCCAACCCGTAGAGAAATGACCACAAAAATCTAATCAAACGTTGAACTACCAAAATAAAACATGCATAACAAGGTTAACATTCATATGAAATTAGAGCAAACATCTGTAAAGTACATACTGAAAAGTAGCATTAACAGGATTAAACTTTAAAAATCCATGATAACTGCCTGGTTGCCATCTTGTTTAGTAAGCATTTCCAAAAGAAAACATGCACAGTTTTAAACCAAGGAAAACTACTAGTATCAAATGAAATTCGAGAAAGATCTTTCAAGTGCTTCTTGAGAAATAGAGAAAACAGTCTTGAACTTGCAACATCCAAGGTGTCTGCCTGTCAGCTATTTTTTTCCGATTAGTCTCAAAATGAAATGTTCACAACTATGGACCAAGAAGAACTTTCAAATGTAATTTGAGAAAGATCTTTCCGGTAATTATTGAGAAATTCCGATGACAATCCTGGAAATCTCAAAATCAAAGATGGCTGCCTGTCCGCCATGTTGTTTATCCGATCAGTCTCAAAAGTTCTTCTTGAGAAATAGCGATAACAAGAATTGTTTAAGGAAGGACCACGGACCACAGACCATGCACGGACCCAGGGTGATTTGAATAGCCCACAATCATCTGATGGTGGGCTAAAAATATGAAAAATAATAAAAGTCCTGAGTCAGATGGTTTAACAGCTGAATTCTATTAAATGTTTCTGGGGGAAATTAAGTAATTTTATAGTAAGGTCTATCAATTACGGATATATAAATGGAACATTATCTATAACTCAAAGACAGTGTATAATTACATGTTTACCCAAGGGAGAAAAACCCATGCAGTTTTTAAAGAAATGGGATTTCATTACTTAATACAAGAGGTCCATTGGACCTGTATCGCTCACCTGGTTTTATATATAAGTCATTACAACTGAATGCATTAGTACATCTTTATATGAAATTTCCTCAAAACCAGACAAGATCTATGTTCTAACCCAACTGGGACCACAATATCAGTGACTTTCAACTAATCAGGGGCCTCCATTGAGTTGCCATGTTAACAGATTTTGAAATAAGTTATATGTCATATTACAGGGTGTAATAAGACAATCTGATCCAAGTTTGAATGAAATAAAACAAAGAGATGTGGATTATGGCCTTTAATACAAAAAAACTGTATATAATGAGCAGGTTACCATGGATTTTTTGCAATGATTGTAAATGGTAGCACTATATTCATACTCTATACATAACACTACAAAGCAAGCTATTCAGCTTAATCGGGTAAATGTAATACATGTATGTAAATTTCGTCCAATGAGCAAACTCCATTTGGGTTACCATGACAAAAAATGAAAAAATAAAATTCAGAAATGGTACTACTGCATTTGGCATCCTTCCTTCACTTGGCAATGCCTCAATTTAACCAATCAGAAACCTCCACTGTGTTAACATGGTAACGGATTTGTAAATTTACATATGTCAAGTTATAGACTATGATGAGACGCACCATTTGAATAAAACTAAGAAAAGGATGGGGAATTATGGCTAATTATATAAAAACCTGTATAGATGACCAGGTTACCATTGCAACATAACTTGCTGTGAGAAAGAGTTTTGTGGAAATCTACATATGATTCTTGATATTTCTGTGAAGTTTCAATGCACAAGTTTAGGTGGATTTTTCCGGACAAGATTTGCAGACGACAGATTTCAAAACTGTTTTTGCAAGGTGGATACATATAGTATTCAATCTATTGTCAGATTTCTGTAATTAATGGATTATGGAAAATTGGTAAAAATTAAACTTGTTCTATAATCGGTCAATTAATGATCTCATCATGATCACTAACTGAAAGAGTATGAAAAATACCGTATTGGACCAAATAAGCGCACATGACCCTATAAGTGCCCCCTGACGAACAAACCTCATTTATTTAAGAAATTATTGCACTTCCCTACTGATGCTTCTCACTAAATTGGTTGAAATCCTCTCTGATGGCCTTAAGGGGTCCAACCAACCTCATTTATTTAAGAAATGATTGCCCTCCCCCAATGAAGTTTCAGAGCAAATTTGGTTAAAATTGTCTGTAGGGTTTAGGATTAGATGCGTTTTAAAGCAAATTTAGCTAAGTTCCCCTTCAGGGCCCCGGCCCTTGGCCTTAAGGGGTCCAACCAACCTCATTTATTTAAGAAATGATTGCCCTTCCCTACCGATGAAGTTTCAGAGCAAATTTGGTTAAAATTGTCTCTAGGGTTTAGGATTAGATGCGTTTTAAAGCAAATTTAGCTAAGTTCCCCTTCAGGGCCCAGGACCCGCTGGCCTCGGGGGTCCAACCAACTTGATTGATTTAAGAAATGATTGCCCTCCTCTAGTAATGCTTCAGACTAAATTTGGTTGAAATCCTCTCTGGCGTTTAGCAGGAGATGCGTTTTAAAGCAAATTTAGCTAAGTTCACCTTCAGGGTAACGTTTGATCTAAGCTTAATACTGATGTGTATGAAAGAAAACCTTCAAAGTGAGTTTCTCATTTCACATATTTACTAGTACAGTACTTAATGTGAAAGAAATAGAATCGATCATTGCAATATGAGACAGATCTGTTTAGTTCTTCCTTTAGCCATTTTGTTTTTATGATCAGTCTCAAAATATAACATGCACAACGATGGATCAAGGGGAACCCACATATAAAATTTGAGAAAGATCCCTCAAGTTATTCCTGAGGAGTAGTACTAACAAACCTTCAATGTCAAAAATTGAAGATGGCTGTCGGTAGGCCATTTTGTTTCACTGATCAGTTTCAAAAGTAGACATGAACAATAAAGGATAGTGGAGAACCTGCACATAGCATTTGAGGAAGACCCCTCCAATACTTCCTGGGAAATAGCACTAACAAACCTTAACTGTCAATATCAAAGATTTGTTTATTCGATCAGTCTCATAAGAAAATATGCATAAAAAAAATAAAAAATCTCTATAGTATTTTCTGAGTAAAAGCCATTACAAACCTTCACTCTCAAAATCCAAGATGTTTTCCTGTCTCCCATTTTGTTTATCTGATCAGTCTCAAAAGTGTATATATACATTAGTAAGGACCTAGGGTAACCTACATTTAAGATGTGAGAAAGATCTCTCCACTACTTGAGAAATAGCCATAACAAACCTTCAATGTCAAAATCCAAGATGGCTGCCTGTCGGCCATGTTGTTTATCCGATCAGTCTCAAAAGTTGCCCTGTATAGTTATGATCCAAGGGGAACCTACATATAAAATTTGAGAAATATCCCTTTGGCACTTCTTGAGAAATACCGATAACAAGAATTGTTTAAGGATGGACGACGGACGCCGGCCTGGCCGGAAAACGGACCACAGACGCAGGGTGATTTGAATATCCCACCATCAGATGACGGCAGACTAATAAGTCGTAAGAACTTATTTCATAATTGTTTGAAAATAAATATATATACATTAAATGTAAATGTACCATAGTTGCAAACATCATGTAGCTGTGCTCTGAAGACAGCCTCCCTTTGGCCGAAACATGTCAGCACATAGGATATAAATCAAGCATCACATTTTGTACTGGATTCAGTGGTGTTGCTTCTAATCATTTCTTTTTTATAAACTAAATTTGTTGAGGGTTTGTCAGATAATATTTTACGCCAGACTTTTACTTCAAAAGTGTTTAACTTGTCATCTTTGACCTTATAATCTTGACTGATGACCACCGATATCTCACCAGGTGTAGAACACAGTTTGTATCATACTATGGTCTAAATGGGAACTAAATGCCTTAAGCGGTTATTCCTTTAATGAAATATTTTATACACAAATGTTTTACTTAAGACGGACGTACAGACACACACAATGATTTTGTTTGTTTGGGGTTTAACGTCCTTGCAACACCAGGGTCATATTAGGACGGGTCCCAAAGAACACATTGTCGGCTGGAGAAAGTAGATAGAAACTAGAACTGTCGCCTATGGGCTAAATAATACCCCTCACATTTCAGGTGCTTGTTGCCCAAAGGGAAAATAAAGAAAGTTCAAGGGTCATGAATAAGTCTAACCTCAGATGTGATATTGTCAGACCGATGGAAAAGACAAACACCAGTACTATGACCTTTGACTCAATGACCTCAGAATTTTGTCACAATGTAGCTTGCATCAATGATACATTTACTCCAAGGTATGGTTATAACAAATGTCTACCATTTTTGCCATAATTAGCTATTTCAACATAATGTACCTGTGACCTTTGACCTTTGACCTCATGACCTTGGACGTTTGTCACAATATAGCCTTCATAATTGGCTACTACACTCACAAAATAACTACCGTTTCCGAGATATTTAGCCATTTCAATAATGTAATTCATCTGTGAGCTTTAACCTTTGACCCCACAAAAGGTTTAACCCTGACAACAATTTAAAACTTGCTATATATGTTAAACACTATTCTAGTACAATGTATTACCATACTAAATTTTGAAGGAATTGAATAGAAAATGAAAAAAGGTTCTTGCGTTTTCTATAAAGTGTCATGGTCTAGAGAAGGTTTATGAACCACGGGCCATAACTTCATAAAAAGGCAAGATAACCCAATGAAAGTACTTTACGCTCATCTCCAAGCTGCAAGGATTGTTATCAGCAAATTTCATTGAAATCAATCCAGTAGCTTAGGAGGAGCACACAGTACAACATTGTGTCGACAGACTGACGGGACGGATGGACAGACGGACGAACAACCTGATTCCAGTATACCCCCTCCCCATAACTTCGTTGCAGGAGGTATAAAGATATCAGACATGAAAAATAGGAAACAAAAATTATCTTAAGTGTTGCAGTGGGGCAGCAGATCAATGTTGGTCTCTTCAATGTCCACTTAGTAGAAGACACAGAAGAAAACCAAGAATTCCGCAGGGGTCACACATACCCCCTTTACGATACACATTCAGAGGGATACAGCAGGCCTATTCTTGGTAACTTCAATGTCCCCGAAACAGAAGAAAAGGATAAACCAATCCCAGTTCTGTGAGGGGGGCACATTAGTCGCCGCACATGATCATGCAGTGGGATACAGCAGGTGTATTCTTTCCCTGAGCCTGCACAGATCCCTCACTTGGTGGGATGTTTAACAATCCCATTTAAAACCTAAGTTGTGCTGTATATTTTTATAGATTCACTGCCACTTACCTAGAATTAGTGGAAACCCAGCAGGATCTTCACTTGCTCCATCTGCTCCTCTATTTCTGTTTCCTTTAAAATTGATCAAAGTCAAATTGATGGAAACTAGTTTTGGAAGCTAATAGGTAACAACATTTCAACTGACAAAATTTGTTGGAAGATTTGACTTTTTTTTAATCAAGGGACTTGTAAATTTTGTCAAGGTCATATATCTAAACAAACAAATGTGTTATCCCTCTAAGCAACAGGCTAAAATTACGAGTCTTCAGTTTTTACATATATCACACTTGCAACCAAAGATGATTGATTTAAGTCAATGATTAAGACAACAAGAGGCACAAGGGTTATATGACTTATAGTGTAGTTACTGGTAGCTCAATTTCACTGTTGAGATGTGATGTGGAAATTGACATGTGAACTAAGTGAAATCAAAGGTTAAGGATTTTAAAATATTTGTTAAATTTCCCTTTGTTATTTGCGCTAGCCTGCACTAGCCCCTGGGTATACACCAGGAATCCCAATTTTACAATGTAATATCCTCATCCACCAAAGATGATTCTGACCAATGATTCTTCTGAAAATGAATAAAATATATCCGTAAATATTATTTCCCTATATAAACTAGTCAACTTTACCCCATTCCCAAGAGAGAATGGATGGCCTGTTGTTACCGTAATTCATTATTTGAATAAAGCCCCTGATGCTATTTCTATCCATGCACCGAAATTGACTGTAGTACCTCTGAGTTTTGAGAAGAAGATTTTTGAAAAAAATGGTTTATTTTCCCTTTGGGGCCTCGCCCTGGCCCCTGGGGTTACACCAGGAATCCTAATTTGACAATTTGGTACCATCTTCCATCAAGGACGATTCTCACCAAGTAAGAATAATTTCCTAAGGAACATTGTTGAAATATACCCGAAAGTGATATTTCCCTACATAACCTTTATAGTAAACTTTACCCCCTCCCCAAGGGAGAACGGATGGCCCGGGGTCCTGAAATTTCAATTTAGATAAAGCCCTGATGATCTTCACAATAATGCAGAGAAATTGACTGTAGTACCTCAGAGTCTTGAGTAGAAGATTTTTTAAATATAGATTAATTTTTCCCTTTTGGGGCCCACCCTGGTCCCTGGGGTTGTAAGTTGAAATCCCAATTTTACAATTTGAAACTATCTTCCATCAAGGATAAATCTCACTACGTAAGAATAATTTCCTAAAGAAAAATATTGAAATACCTGCACAGATCCCTAACTGAGAGGGACTATACTTATTTTTAATCAAGAGACTTATACATTTTGTCAAGGTAACTTATCTGAACAAACAAATGTGTTATCCCTCTAAGCAACAGGCTAAATTCATGAGACTTCAATTTTTACATCTTTCATATCTGCAACCAAAGACGATTGATTTACGTCAATAATTAAAACAAAAATGATGGCTGTTCACACCAGCTAGTTAACGGGAAAATATCACTTCTCTAGACCCCATAAAACTTGGAAGTTCTTGAGAGATTTTCACCCATATGAATTTTTCTTCCTAGGTTGAGATCATTTGTTCAATTATAATAAACATTGGAAAAAAACAACCATTTTTCTTTTGTGTCTTTATTTATGTATCCTTTTCTTAAGTAAGTTCCAAAGACGAACATAACAAATACACAGATGATAGTACCTTCAAAATTTGGTAATATATACAGTATCCCAAAAATGAACTACTAGAACTCAGAAGCGACGCTAGGGGCAAGAAATCCCAATAGTCTAAAGCTACTGTTGAAACAAAGAGGACTGGTGCGTAAAAACCCCTTGATTATATGAATTTCAAAATTGTGAGAACTTAAGGATAAACCATGGACAAAGGGCAATTTTAACAGCTCCAAGTCTGATGATGGTGGGCTAAATACATAAGGGATGTACATCAAATTTATAAACACAATTTGTTCAAACCTGTTCTATTTTCTTTCCATCGTTTCCATTTGCGCCATCCGACCCAATGCAATGAAAATGCCTACAACTACTGCTACTACTACTCCTACTGCTATCACTATGACGTTAAACGTAAGTGATGTACATCAAATTTATAAACACAATTTATTCAAACCTGATATATTGTTTCCCCTTTGTTTCCATTTGCACCATATGACAATAAGGATGACTACAGCTACTGCTACTACTGCTACTACTGCTGCTACTGCTTTATCATGGCTTTGCTTCCTAGAAATAATGTCAAAGAATAGCAATCATGACTCGTAAACATTAAGGCGTAACTCAACTGACACACTTTCATATTTTTTCTCAACTAATGTGACCTATGTGTTCATTAACACTCTCTTACATACACACACACAGTCACACACATACATGTACATATATTAACATGGCTGAATTCATAGTAACCCGTTCACTCTTGATTGATTTTTATAGTCCGTCCATCCTTTAATCTGAACAAGTCCATAATTAATCTCTAGGGGTGAAAGGGTTAAACAGTTATGTGAAGATTAATCTAAACATTATGCCACAGGATGCAGATCTATAATATATGTCAGCCATTATAGTCTATATTAAAGCCGGCAAGGATTACTGTCAGAACTTCTGTCGAAGTACAGCTATAAAGCATCTATATTCTATATATTAGTTCACATTCTATATGAATTTACTTATGAGTAGCACACTACTGGGTGTATAAGACTATACTGAATGTCATGGGGTACAACTGGAGATATATATAGTTGTCATGGCGATTGAATGTTGTATATTTTGGCTGACAGGGACCATGGCAATAAACTTGTCATTGGTGTGTGTTTTCTTTATTGGTTGTTATGGGGCACAACTTGAGAGAAGTCCGCACAATGCATATGTAATAAGAGCAGAAAAATGCATGGCCAGACCGGGTTTTGAACCAGGGACCCTCACAACTCTAAACCGACGCTCTAACAAATTGTACTAGATGGTGGCTGTGGTGCCCAGCAATCAACCGAGTCAGTTTAGCTACATATATATATATAAGTGATTGTTATTGGAATCGGATGCTACATAATTATAATATTTGCAAGAAACCATTAGTTGTGGTTGTGAGAAAGCAAGGTTGTATACTTACGGCTGGCTGTCAGAGGCGTTGGTGGTGCCAGGTGGAAATGTAGACCCGTAAATTCTACGCTTAGAAGTTGTAAAATTTCTCTGCGTCACTGGTATCTCCTTTGGAAGCGTAGGTTTTGGAGGACTGAAACAATGGTTTGCTGTTTTAAAATTATATCTTTATTAATTTCTTAAATTCACTTACACACTTCACATGAACGGTCTTCGCTTCGCTAGGGCCGCTCATGTGGTGTGTAAGTAAAATTTTCCCCGTTCATATTTGCATGTACATTGTAAAAATCCAGATTCCATCCCTACACAAATTAATTAGCAGGATAGATTATTAGCATATTTCAAGCTAAATGCAGGAATTAGTTTCATGTACACTCAGTATATTTCAAAGACAGCCATTGTTGGAATACAGTAAGGCGTGATTCAATTACAATTATCTGTACTCCAAATCATGTGCGGTGACATTATTCTTTAGAACAAAGTTTGATCAACAATCATTTTAGGATATGCTTGCTCATTCAAGTGTTTACTCTTTAGATTATATTTACATCTCACATGTAAAAGCACGTTCTACCTCTACTACTGTAACATAAGAGGCCGCTGGTCGGCCTTTTTTCTATCGAATATGATTTTGCCGACTGCAACCTCTTATTTCCGAAGCACTAATTCTTTGATGCAGATTCCATCCGAAATTCGGGCAGAACAAAAACAGCTTGAAAAACTCACTTAAGTGGTTCACAGTTCATGACAACGATGTCTACTCATGGGTCATGTAATATATATCCCATATGTATGCCACAGACACAAATAAATAGTACATTACGGAATATAACACTCAAAATACATGTCCATGTCGTTGTAGCACTTCTCTGACCTACTTTTACAACATGACTTTTACTTGATACAAAATAGCAGCGGGGATTTCAGACAACAAATTGATAAAAAGTTTGTTTGTATTCCGCTTGTAGAACAGTGTATGTAAAACATTTTTGTATAAACCGGGAAATCGAGGCCAATGTTGTCTGCTTCACTTTGAAACAGAAAAAACCAACATTATTTATGTCTTTGACACGAAATTCTTATCATTTAATCATCTATTTATGGAAAGGAATATTTATTTGACCCTGTTGAACATTTTAATGTTTGTAAATACGCTATACTTTTTCTAAATCCTAACATTGAAGATTTGATGGTCAGATTTGGGAAAATCAGCTATGGGCAGTTAGAGGTTATGCGGTGCCTGTCAAAAGTTTCTCGCCGTGTAAACCTCTAACATTGTTGAAATAGTTCTACCTCTGATATTTCACAATATTGTATTTTGGCTTCCTTTTAAAATCTGTTCAGATTTTTGATGGTGTTTGCACCATCCCTTTGTCAGTATTTACAAGAGAGTACAATAACAGCACTAGCTAACATGTTATCCCTGAACACTGTTTTTATTTCAAAACTATCCAATTTTGTTCGTATCTATGGGTAATTTGTAGGTCTAAGGCAGGAAAACATTGGGCTCCCCAATGGGGTATGTAAATATCTGACTATTCGGTTGATTTTGGTAACCGGTTCGTGCTCCGGCTAACCATTTACAACCTAATTATTAATATATTATGAACTGGTATATTGTGTACCTGGGTGTGCTCAGTCTACATCCACAATCCTGATGCAGATTGGTGCGGTATGGGCAAGTTCCTCTCCGACAGTTACATGGGTCTGTTCCACAGTAATTAAAACTGATGTCACACTGACACCACTGGGGACAGGCATAGGGATCAATAGTCGTAGACTTCACCAGGGACGGCCTTGTTCTGTCTGAAGGTAATTCATTAAAGAGACATATCATTTATTTAGTACCATTGTACCAGGTAAGATCTTCATTATTTCTATGCAACTTCAATTTTGTTTATCTTTTTTTTCTCTCTTATTGTATTATGTTTAAACCTTTGGTCAAAACTTCATACTATTGTGTTTGATATTGTCCTTTCAAAGTGAGGTCTTTCTTTCCTGGACATTCCAGGGGTTACTATGTTAATCAAGAGGCCAGGTAAACGACCCATTCTGGACATTCCAGGGGTTACTATGTTAATCAAGAGGCCAGGTAAACGACCTTTCCTGGACTTTCCAGGGGTTACTATGTTAATCAAGAGGCCAGGTAAACCACCTTTCCTGGTCATTCCAGGGTATACAATGTTAATCAAGTGGCCAGGTAAACCACCTCTCCTGGTCATTCCATGGTATACTATGTTAATCAAGTGGTCAGGTAAACCACCTTTCCTGGACATTCCAGGGTATACAATGTTAATCAAGAGGCCAGGTAAACGACCCATCCTGGTCATTCCAGGGTTTACTATGTTAATCAAGTGGCCAGGTAAACCACCTCTCCTGGTCATTCCATCGTATACTATGTTAATCAAGAGGCCAGGTAAACGACCCATCCTCATGGTCATTCCAGGGGTTACTATGTTAATCAAGAGGCCAGGTAAACGACCCATCATCATGGTCATTCCAGGGGCTACTATGTTAATCAAGAGGCCAGGTAAACGACCCATCCTGGACATTCCAGGGATTATATTCTCTTACTTTCTCCCACCCCTAGTCCACGTCAAGATGAAATTGAAGCCTTGATGTGTGCCACCTTGTGGACGATACATCTAGACTAGTTTGAACATCAAATCAATCGTTCAGCAGTGTAAGAGTAAAATTGAAAGTCGGGGAAATTCTCGTCTGTAATCTTGAAAGCACTTCTATATGTATCAGCCTTGTGATTGATCATTTTTCACCTGAAACTAATTGAATTGCTAACTATGAGTCTCCAATCTTATCTTGACATATTCCAGGGGTGCTGAGAATGTAAACGTTAAACATGGAATGTCAAGGATGGGTGGTTTCCTGGCCTCTCGACTAATAGTTGTGTGTGAAAAAAAAACACAAGGGAGATTTTTAATTTTGATGAAAAATTATGGTCTAATTCAAGATGTCTGCCTGGTGGCCATTTTGTTCCAATCAGGCTGGAAATGAAACATACACAACGAAGAACCAAGAGAAGCTACAATAGAAACTTTGAAAATAGCAACAACAAATTAAAATCTGACAGGAAAAATCAAAGATGCCTGCCTTGGAATGAACATGTAATAATAATAGTCAGACCAAGGGGAACCTTCATTTGAACACTATCCATCCAACTTGACCATCAAAATCCAGAATGGCCACTTAACAGCCATCTAGATCTAGATTACTGCTTGGCAGTCATATTGTTGTTCCAATCAGTTTTAAAATTCAACATGTATACCTAAGGACAAAGGGTAAATCTGTGAAAGATCAGTCCAGTATTTCTTACAAAAATAGCAATAACAAACTTTAACAGCCAAAAACCCAAGATGGCAACCGTCTATCTTGTTCTTCTGATTAGTGTCAAACTTGTTTAAGGACATTGATGAAAGGTAATACAAATAGCACATACTTTTCAGACAATCAGGCTTCACACAGCTTGTGGCAGTGATGGAAGTTGTGGCATCCAACAGAAAACTTCCTTCCGGACAAGGAGCACATGTGTCATTGCCATGGTGAACTTTACACATTGAAACTGTGAAATCTGCAACAGAAAGTCAAATGATGAGTGGAAGGTTTTTAAGTTATTGTGTTGTGTTTGAGTTGTGGATTATTATTTTCCTCAAACTTTTAATTGGTGGTTTATTGGGCAGGCGAGCTGAAGGCTATGAATGTTTAAGTCAGTACATATCATGCATTTGACACATGTTCTTCAAAATGTCTGTGGAAACTGATGCTGAAAAATTCACCTTGCGGAAATATTGACACAGAATGAATACTTTGTGATGTTTTTAATATGGAAAAGGAAAATAAGGCTCCAGATTTCTCATATGTATGAGGATGAAATCGGGGAATAACAATGTTCCAACATAATTGTATATTTTATCGTTCTAATGGAATTTATCATCTTACTTCATGACTAAAAAATAACACAAGCAGAAACATACTCACTTTTTGCACAGCTAACTACACCACAACAAAAGCCATTATCTTGTTTAATGTAGTCTGGGCCAGGACAGTTGTTTGTGGGGGCTGAGGCACAACCAGGCACCATATACATCTGATCAAACAAATATGTTTTTTTCACTGTAAGAATGGGGAATTGGTGTTGTTTGTTTTCTTTTAAAAAGAAGCCCAGGAAACTCCCCAATAAAGATCATCATCTATGCAGAACCCAAAAAATCATGAAAACACATATTCACTACAAGAAGCTGCAGTGGCCCAGCGGTTAAGGCGTCTGACTGTCTATGATAACTAGCCCCCAACCTATGGACCAAGGGGAACATTCATATTTTTGAGAAAGGCCCATTCATTACTAAGAGAGAAGTAGCTATGGCAAGAATTGAAACATACAGACTACAGACCATGGATGGAGGGCAACTCGATAAGCCCACAATTTAACTATAGTGGGCTGAAAATAAAATCGTAGATGAACCATTTAAGCCATTGGTACTGGCAGTCCTGAACAGCAAACAGTACTACAATCAAGAATGTTTCATTGGTTGAATGTGACCAATTTGTTGTCTTGTCATCCAATTGCTGCTCTTGTTTCAAAGTCAGAATCGAATCTGCTATATGTTTAGTAACGAGCTGGTTCAGATCTCCGGAGTGTGAATATTTTGGGTTTCAACATAACAGAAAAAAATACATGAACACAGGAGGGCTACTATTAGTAGATCTGCAAGTACAGTCATGAAACCTCTGATATCACACTATATAAAAGCTTAACATTCCCTTTTAGGCAGGGTTAATATACCTCTACTGAGTTTACCTATATAAAAACAAAACGACAAAATCTCCTTTTCTCGAAAAATCACTTAAATCTATCCATCTGAGGGCTACTCCCTCCCCAAAAAAGGACTACTCCCTGCCAGAAAGAGGACAACTCCCTCATGAATATTTGTAGGTGGAGCTTAAAAAAAGTGAATGGGACTAAATATGCTAGGAAATAAACTATTAGATACAGATTACAAAAACACTTCTTGAATGCTAGAAAAGAAGATATCATCAACGATAATGCATACAGCACTTCTAATTATAATTTTAAAAAATCTGTTTGAAATTGTTTAAAGAAATGAATTAATAAATTTATTTGTTACATTGCCTTACTTTGTTTCGTTATAATAAAACAGTTATAGAATGGGTTATTAAGGAAATAGCAAATGTATGGTCACCCTTGGTGAAAAACTTTTTCCCTTTGCAGCTTTGCCCTCGGGGGACCATAGATTTGCTATTTCCCAAAATACCTATTCAGCTATAACTGTATATTAGAATACAGTACCACAGGTTCGAACCAAGGGTGTTTGCCAGCAATAGATATTGTAAATACTAGGACTTACCGAGAACACTGTCAACAGGATACCGGCAATGACCAAACAGGAAGATGTTGAGATTTCTGGAATATATAACATATAACAAAATAGAACCTAAAAAGACGTGCTCAAATTCAAAATCTATGGGTACAATGACATCAGATTGATACAATGTTCCATGTGAATGTGAATGTGAGATGTAAATTTTTTCTGGGTATTCCTAATTCCTCCTGAATAAATAACCCATATTTGCTTAGCTTCAGGCTAACAGGAGTGATTGATTTAAAGTGAGAGAACATGTTTCATAATCATTGTAAAAGAAACAAGTTCGTGGAATATATATATCCCCCGCTTGCAGGACATATTGTAGGTTAACATTATTGAGGCTAGGTTTAAACATGTGAGTACCATGCTGTTAAGACATAATGTATAGCTTGAAACTTAAAGAGAAAAAAGCCCTACACCTCATTGATTATCCGTAAATATGCATAGATCACATTGGTTGGCAAACTTAGCATGAGTTGGATGTGCATAAGGAATTTGGTTGAAACATCTTAAACTGCAGCAAAAAGTACTAATTGTAATGGGGGATCATTACAGATGTCCCCCAAACTGCCCCCATAGTCGCAAAGATGCATCAGAAAAGGATAGCATTGGCATAGTACACCTACAATGTACATACTAAATTTGAGAGAAATTGATCAATTTCTAAATTGCAACCAATCAGAATCCTCTGTGTAGTTGCTAAGTAAACTTATGAGGTTATCTTCGCAATCCCCCCTATATACCAATTTTCATCAAAATCGAACAATATCTAAATTTCGGCCAATCAGAATTGCCTCCATATGGTTGCTATGGCAACGAAACCTATGCGATAGAATTTGTTGTCCCATTATACCCCAGATACCAATTTTCATCAAAATCGAACAATATCTAAATTTCGACCAATCAGAAGCCTTTGTGTGGTTGCTATGGCACCAAAACCTTTGCGGTTGAATTCGCAGTCCCCTAATATCCCTATATCCCAATTTTCATCAAAATCGAACAATATCTAAATTTTGACAAATCAGAAGTCTCCGTGTGGTTGCTATGGCAACGAAACCTATGCAGCTTCATTTGCAGTCCCCTAATACCCCTATATACCATTTTTCATAAATATAGAAAATATATCTAAAATTCGACCAATCAGAAGCGCCTCCATATGGTTGCTATGGCAACGAAACCTATGCGGTTGAATTCGCAGTCCCCCTATACCCCCAGATACCAATTTTCATCAAAATTGAACAATATCTAAATTGACAATGACATAACTCCACAAATTATGGTTGGATAATTGTGGTTATCGAACTTGTCTGAGGTTTCATGGTAATTAACCTTGTTGCGAGGTTTGAAGTTAATCCGTTAATAATTACTCGAGATATCGAGCAGACACTGTTTCGGCAAGTCCATAAAGGGGCATAACTCCACAAATTATGGTCGGATAATGGCGGTTATCGAACTTGTCCGAGCTTTTATGGTAATTAACCTTGTTGTGAAGTTTGAAGTTAATCCGTTAATAATAACTTGAGATATCGAGCGGGCATCGTTCGCATGCTTGCCCGACAGACTGCCCGCCCGCTCACGTGATAACATAATACGTCCCCGTCTTCGACGGGCATATAACAACAACAAAAATTAAGAAAATAAACAAGTATTTCATACAAAGGGGGCATAACTCAATCAAAAAGGGTTGAAATCCCAAATTAAAAATGCCAGTGCACAATAACATAAGATACCGATTATTAATGCACAGTTTCAATGAAATCCACCAGTAAGTTAAGGAGGAGTTGTGTAGACAAGTATTTTGCACAAAGGGACATAACTCCATAAAATCCCTTAATCCCTATGGTACATGTAGAAGAAGGATTTTAAAGGTTTTACCACTATTTCCCCTATTGGGCCCCACCTCTCTGCCTCCAGGGGGTTAGACACACCGTTCATACCAAATTTGGACAAAATCCTGTCATTCGTACAGAAGAAGGATTTTGAAGAATTTGCTATGTTTCTCCTATTTGGCCCCGCAACTCTGTCCCCAGTGGGGCAACACTTATTGTTTATACGAAATTGAGTCCCTTTTGCCATAGGATGATCCAGACCAAATCAGGATAAAATCCCTTAATCACTATGGTCGGAGAAGGATTTTAAAAGTTTAACCTCTATTTCCCCTATTGGGCCCAACTTCTCTGCCCCCAGGGGGAGCACATCCACCATTTATATAAAATTGAGTCCATTTGTCCAAAGGATGCTGACCAGACAAAATTGGGATGAAATCTTGTCATTCCTAAGGAAGAAGAAGGATTTTAAAGGTTTACCTCTATTCGGCCCAACCCCTCTGCTTAGGGGGGGCCACATCCACCGTTTATACAATATTGAGTCCCCTTGGCCCAAGGATGCTCCAGGTTTAATAAGGATAAAATCCCTGAATCTCTTTGGTAGAAGAAGGATTTTAAAGGTTTTACTGCTATTTCCCCTATTGGGCCCCACCTATCTGCCCCCAGGGGAGCCATACCAACCGTTTAAAAAAAACAAGAGGCCCAAGAGGGCCTGATTCGCTCACCTGAATATTTAAGCAGTCATAGCAAAATATTCTCATTAAATATCATATTGCACTAAAAATATTTCCCTCGCAAACTTTGTTGACTCCATCTGTTGAAACTATCAGCAAAATATTATTATAAGATTCTATGCTTTTTGATTCTTCTTCAGAAGTTGCTTGACATATTTTTTCCTGTGACCTTGTAAGTAGGTCAATGTCATTTTCCTTCTCAAATTGGTTAGCTCTATTCCAAAAAGCTACCAGCCAAATCTTATGAATCCATTTCTTTTAGTTCTTAAGAACAAATCTTTTAAAATGTTGTTGACCTCTGTGACCTCTAAAGTAGATTGAAGTCATTTTCATTCGCAAACTTTGGTGAGCTCTATCCCAGGAAGTCACCAGCCAAATATTATAATTTTATGCCTTTTAATTCTCAGAAGAAGTAGCTTGAACCATTTGACATATTTGAACGCTGTGACCTTAAAAATAAGTCAAGGTCATTTTCATTCGCAAACTTTTTTTGGCTCTTTCCCAGGAAATAACCAGCCAAATATTAAGGTTCTATACCTTACAGTTCTTCAGAAGAAGTTGTTTTAAGCATTAGACATATCTGACTCCTGTGACCTTGAAAGTAGGTAAAGGTCATTTTCATTCGCAAACCTTGTTGGGCTCTTCCCCAGAGAATAACCAGCCAAATATTAAGGTTCTATACCCTCCAGTTCTTCAGAAGAAGTCGTTTGAAGTATTTCAAATATCTGCCTCATGTGACCTTAAAAGTGTGTCAAGGTCATTTTCATTTTTAAACTTTGTTGGGGTCTTTCCCAGGAAGCTTCAAGCCAAATATTTAGGTTCTATACCTTCCAGTTCTTCAGAAGAAGTCATTTGAAGTGTTTGACACATTTGACTCCTGTGACCTTGAAAGAAGATCAAGGTCATTTCCTTTTCAAACTTTGTCAGGCTCTATCCCAGGAAGCAACCAGCCAAATATAAAGATTCTATACCTTCCAGTTCTTCAGAAGAAGTCGTTTGAAGTGTTTGACACATTTGACCCGGAGATCTTAATAGTAGGTCAAGGTCATTTTCATTCTCAAACTTTTTATACCTTTCAGTTCTTCAGAAGAAGTCATTTGACACATTTTACCCCTGAGACCTTGAAAGGAGGTCAAGGTCATTTTTATTTTCAAACTTTGTCGGGCTTACCCCAGTAAGCAACCAATTAAATATGAAGATTCTATACCTTTCAGTTCTTCTTCAGAAGTCGTTTGAAGTGTTTGGCATATTTGACCCCTGTGACCTTGAAAGAAGGTCAAGGTCATTTTCATTCTCAAACTTTGTCAGGCTTCTACCAACAAAGCATTCAGCCAAATATCATGACTCTACGCCTGTCCGTTGTTCAGAAGAAGTTTTTTAAAGGAAAAGTTGACAGACAACAACGGACGATGGACAGACAATGTTTATACANTCCCCCCCCCCCCCCCCCCCGATACCTTCCACTCATCAGATTTTGACCCTGGGTTCTGACCAGGAGGTAAATAAAAAGCATATTCATATAGGATTTTTTGGACAACAAAATGTTTTCATTTAATACATTTAATAATATTCCTTTGGGACCCCACAGTTGGGTTTCCCTGTGGGTCCCTACTTCAGAGTGAATGGGGGATTCCCATTGGTCGAAAGGTCAAAGGGCCCCCTGGCTCCTTGCACGTTGACCCAAATCATTAACCCCACAGCCTTTAGATCTGCCATTTTTAAAAAGCACAGAAAAATCAACAAAACGAAGAAAAGGAAATACTATTTTTAAGACTTCAAAATCTTCATAAAAACCCACCCTCCTCCCCTTATTCAGCATAGAGAGCAAGTTTTGGATGTTAACCAATACTGTAGGTTGTAAATTGCATTATGTATTAATTTTAGAATAAGTAAGAGGAGTTTATAATTATGTATCTTTTCACTGGCTCAAGAAGAATGTTGTATATACAGCATTAAGTTCAGGGCTCACCCGGGACCTAAAAAATTAGTAGCCAATTGTTTTTTAAACAGTGGCCATACTTTCTCGGCCTCCAACCGGTACGGATAGGCCCTCCATTAAAATAATTCAATATTTAATATTTTTGAAGGGCAATACTATGTATGTTAAATTAAGGAGTACTCAGTTAAATTAATATTTTGTTATACATCATGTTTATGATTTAATCCATAATATGATATTTTTTTAATACTTTCAGATGATATAGCTTTAATTATAAGAAAATACTACTTCAATCAAAATGATGAAAATTTCAACCAGAACTTTTTAATTCTTTACAAAAAAAAGAAAAATCAGACTTTATCTCATTTTCTTGACACAGGTATTGTAAAAAAAAAATAGGTTGAAAAGTTAAAATTTTAAGATATTATTCGCCTTTAATTGAAGGCTTAGATAGTCTAATTCCGTGCCTTCAAGCTAAAAATAAAACTATAATGAAAATCCAATTCAAAAGTAGCCTCAGTGATGCAATATTGATAATTCTTTTACTTAGTTAGAAGGGGCCAATGCAAGGATTGTTGAAATTTTCCATATTTTAGTCATTATCTAGATATGTTATCTAAGTTTTACCAGTCACTGTTCATATTATCACATGTACTAGTCAGTATTCATGTTATCTATGTCATACTTTCCAGTTGTATGTTATCAAATTTTAATAGTCAGTATTCATGTTCAAAGTTCAACTTCATCATGTTTATTTAATATATATACTGAACAATTTGTGATAAATATTATGTATCGAGAATCAGACGCCATATACCAAGAGTTTGTTTTTATGATCCAAGGCATTGTGATTAGGGAGATTTCCCTATTAATGGTTAAAGGCGTGGTCTTGTAAAACTATATGTAACTATATATATAGGGGCACGATCAGAGGTGAGACAACACTGCCAGCTGGTCAGAGCCTAGGAATACCTACCTCCCCCTTCCTATAAGGGAAGTAAGGGTTAGGTAGCCTGCTCTCCAGCATATTCTGATCTATCTTTGGTGATTTTGGAGTCTGCTTCTTTGATTAGACGGTTTTAGTTTTATTTGGCGGCGGTTTTAATTGGCCGCACCTTTACAAAAAGGTATTTCATTTTGAATATAAAAGTCAAAACAAAACAAAATCAGGAAAGAGAAATCATTTCAAAAAATAATCAACAGAAGAAAACAAAAAACAAAAATTAATAAATTTGGCAGCCCAGTTTTTTGAGTTAGCCTTTTATGCCAAAACCCATGTCTTTGTGTTAGGTTTTTGTTAACAGAGCTTTGCTGCATGTTTGGTAGTTAAAGAGTTAACATCTGATCGCTGCTTTGGAGGAACTTGGGAAAACATGAAGAACAAAAATGTATTTTGACAACAGACCCTATACCTTGTGTATTACACATACCCTAAGGGCATTTCAATATTTCAACCCCAGTTGACAGGTTAAATTTACCTGTAGAATAGTCAATTTGGATACCTAAATAATCTAATTGTTTCGAAATATATGTTTTGTTGGAATTCATATCTGCATTCCTGTAACTACAGTACATTGTTACCCATCATGAATGAGACGATACATATATTTATAGTATTTTTTATTATTTACAGCTATAGTACATGTAGTTACCTACATAACCTTTCCATTTTTTTTTTCAAAATGAACATACAGCAAATGACTCACTATCATGTACTAATAATATAATGATAATTTAATACTGTTATAACTATAAAGGAACTTCAATGGTGATTATGGCTTTAAGACAAAGTATTATAAACTTTAAACCACCGATTCATATACTTATACATGTACCATGGATTCAAGGCAGTACATGTGGTAATAGATTAATAGGTCATCACGCTCTATGGTTATTATGATATTTTATTATGGTATAAGAACCTCAAATTATCATTATTTTTATTATAGGAAAATGAAGTATTTTATACAGGAATCATCTGTGTCAATTTTTAATGATCCCTGAATATGTCATTTTAACGTTAACATTACCGGTGTAGATAAATCCTTCAGAAGACAATTTCTGTGGTGGGAGGTTTGCTGACCAGCCATCTTGAAAAGTTTCTCCTCTAGACCTGTTAGCCTTGACTCCTGGGTAACTGGGCATGCTGTTACCCTGAGGGTTAGGCCTAGTCCTAGCTACGCATCTATCACATCCAGGGTGTCCTTTTGTTTTTGTTCTATATTTTGGAAATCCGTCTAATCAGCTAATACATAAATCAGTTTAGGTCCAAATATAGCTGTAACAACTTATCAGGTCCCTGTGGTATATTACACGACGAAGCCAGTGTTCGGTGACGTTTTCCTGATTGTTTGATAGATTTTACTTTCGCTTCACTACCGAGTAGTTTCGTTCAACCAGACGCTTGTTGTCTGCGCTAGCTACGCAGAACAGAATTACAAGTGATCAAGCGTCTGGTTGAACGAGATTAGGTTAAATCCAGCAGTCTTTTTCCTGGAATCCCAAGTCTATTTATAGAGGCATCTAAATATAGCACCTGTTATGTGCTATTTACACCCGAGATCCGCACAAATTTTGAGGGTTTCCCGTGAACTAAGACGTTTCGCCCCAAAACCGTTACACCCCCAGACAATTTAGCCCATCTTTTTTTTCATATCGCCCCAAAATTCTTTATCGCCGAACCGCTTTTTTCGAACCTAAGCTTATATATTGAATATTGTAGCTCAGATCTGTTGTTCTACAGGTACAAAGCCCACTCGTTAAAAGCTATTATGTCAACGTTGTCAGCAACAATTTTCAGCATCACTTAAATCATCAATATATTCCTAAAACATTGATGTTTGGTAACTTTTTATTTTTGTGTTTTTCAAGACATTTGTTATTTAACTGATTTAGATGTGTCAGCTGTGTTAGAAAGAGAACAATTATTAAAGAAGCTACATCCAGTTTGAATAAGTCCTGAGCTTAAAACACAGTATGTCACTTGTATACAGATTAAAGGTTGCGATTCACATATATGCAATTGATTAGTATCTTTCAAAATTGATGTGTTGTCAGATTTGTTACTCAATAGTATTATTACTATTTATGTGAGAAAGTTGGAACATGTTTCATATAAATCACACTTAGAGCAGAACCAAGAGCCTGCAACATATGCTTTTGCTGTAGGTTAACAAAATAAAGAGATGCACTTTAACTAATTAATCATTTCATTTGTGTTAACAAAGTTATATATACTTTGGGAAAATTGACAAGCACATGTAATATTTTCACAGAATATGAGAGTTTATTGTCCAATGTCTGATAATAAAGTCCATATGCTTGATTTTGTATGATATACATACAATGAACAGGGCTAAGTTGAACCATTTCATAAGTCAAATAACATTTTCCTTCAGGTTTGGATGGTCAAAATCATATCATATTGACATATTCATTCAAATTAATCAAAGACTCTCAAGATGTAATTTTGATGAGACAAAAAAAAACTTATCGAGGATCAACTTAAAGCCCTGAAGTAAGTGATTGGATGTTTTTTCATGACTTTCCATGCACACATTACATGTACATTGTACTTATTGTGTGTTTACAACAGAATAAAAACTTTAAAATGAAAATACATGTATAGCTGTTTTTTATTACTCACAGGTGACATACAATGTAACAAGCTTGAGTGGTGATATACAAACTGTATTATAATTCAATGTTAACTCTGATAAAAATGAACTGGTTATTTGATTTAAAAACTCATTCTTCTGGTGTGAGGGGCTGGTCGGCGATTTTTTTTTACAATAAATGAGTCAAAATGCGTTCTCTGGCCTTCCAAAAGTTATACCACGGCAGTATGATGGTCGAGTTCTGCAACCACTGAAATCTCGGGGAAGCCCCGCGTAAATTTAGCACAGATCTATTTATATATGTCATGTGGTTATTTCGAAAGCGAGGCAGTGAAGATATCAACAATAGCACGCCGTCTATCAGCCATTTCGGACTCAACTAGCGGACAAGACAGCAATACTATACGTAAATAATTGTTTTCAAAGGTCTTGTATGATACAAGTGTAGTATTCCTACCGATATTTTATTGTTATATATAACGGTATTGATGATAATGTCAATAAACGTGGAAATCACTGCAAATCGCCGTCCAACGCAGCGATGGGGCCCCATGAGGGGTAATCTAAATCCCGTCATCAATGTCATCGTTTCATGTATAAAGTTGTATTTACTATTTTAAAGCAACAGAAGCAAATCGTTAATGAAAACACAACAAGTGTTTGCCTGGGACTGTTGGGAATACTGATTAAATAATTAAAACGGCCCAAAGACGTATCTAGACCAAACTTGAAGGGAAGAAAACGTTTCAACTTCAAGTAAACAGGCATATTGACCCTGTGTCATTGAAACTTTGATAAATAGGCCTATCAATTGATTATAGACGTGTTTGTTAGGCACAACATCATTTTTTAGATCCAGTTTTAATCTATTCTACATTTACTGTGATATAAAGAAAGCAGAATGTTTGAATGTACACAAGTAACATATTCTAATTGCCCTACAATATTTAATTATGCAATCATATAAACCACATAATTATATCATATCGTCTAGTCACCAGTTTCCGCGCGTTATATATTTCTGCGCAGCCATTTTATCAAGCTATATCTCGTAACTACGTGACCTGCTGGACACAACACAAGGATATTTCAGACGTTTCGCTATCGTCTGTAAACTGACTCAAAAGTTACCGGAAGTTCGTCCGGAAAACATGAGAAAAAAATCACTATTTAAAAAAAACACGCATAAATATGCAGTTTTGCTTAATGCACTTTTGATCTTGCTCGAAATGAATCCATACCTGAAAAAACGGTGATATTTTTCATTCATGAACCGTTCTTTTTTTTGTAGTCTGACAAACGTACGAAAACGTCGTATGCAAATGAGGCCACATCTCCTCGCCGATTTTTGTCCACTTCCGAAGAGCCAATGAGACATTCTTATATCGATAAAAAATGTTTTCAATAAAAAGTAAACCTTGTAATGCAATGAACTTCCAATTTTGACCAATTTTAAACAGAACAAAAATGAGAAATAACTTACCATCAACCAAAACCGATATAAAACTGCAGAACAAAATGATAACAGATTCTATATTATAACTAAATAAATATAATTAATAAATTTATAAAATTACATGAATTCGTTCAATTTGACATCTTGAAAAATCGATTAAAAATGTGAAATTTAAAAAAAGTTGTTTTGATAATTAATTTGACAATCAAAGATATTTTTTATTCCAAACGAAGTTTTTGTTCTTTCAGGTCGCTGTAAAGAATTTCCTTTTAGTGTATTCGAGTTATCTTTCTTTGAACACTAAATCAAAGTAGACACACGGAAACATATGACGGCTACTTCCGACGGGAGAAATTTGCTAAAAAATTGTTTGTTCTAAATTTTTTTTTAAATAGTTTTATGTTGCAATTTTTTTGTTTCCTTTAGTAGATTGTATACATGTTTATGACAGTCTTCCGTAATCTCAACAGTTTTCTGCCGATATGAGCACTTAAAACCGGTAACCCGAGGATATATAAGCGAAGCTTTTGTTGATCTCCGATATTTACTGATTTAGAATGAGATAATTTTAATACTGCTTTCAGAATGAGGCAGGATACAATATATTTAAAGTCAGCTAGTCGAGGGATAACAATAAAACATAAACTCTAATGAGATTAAGATCGACATAACAATAGGGGAGATCGGGGCAAATTCGGCCCATTTGTATTAAAGTCCGTTTTGGGAAGTATGGAAACACGTCCGTTTTTGAACATTATTTATTTTTCCCTGTCGGATGATCGGATGACCGAACGAGCCCCGCAATGGATAAGTTCGGACAGGCATTCGGGTAAGTTCGGCCCAATTGGAATCAGCATAATTATGACGTTAAAAAGCCTGCAACGTCAGATTTTATCGTCAATTTTACGACTTTTTATGTGTTACATGGGCCGAACTTGCCATGGTATCATTGGCCGAAACTGTCCGGGACCAAATTGATATTTCAATAAATTCTTACAGAACAGTCATATGATAGTGAGTGCTTGGCTTTGCTTTTATGTACCTGTTTATCACTTGAAGCTGTCAGTGTGTTACACGTTTGACCGTAAAAAATAGCAATTCCGTTTACAGAAAGTTCGCATAACCAGAAGCGAAATCATGATTTTGTTTCTACCCTCTCAAGAGTAATTTTCTCCTGTTTAGTAATTTTACATTTGAGTTTTCCTCGCCATTTTTTCGTGTTAATGCCCAACCAACTAAACTGCTAAGATCCTTAAAGTTGTAAATATTAGCTCAAAAACAAAAATATCAGGGGTGGCCAAACTTGCCCCGGTCTCCCGTATGTAGTTTTTTTTATCGTTGATGATTCTTAAAAATGACTTCACAATATAATTTTTGCATCAATGACGCAATTTTAAAAGCTTAAGTAGATGATGGGTCGGGTGGCGCAGTGGATAGCGCGCTCGTCTTCCACCGAGATGACTGGATTCAATCCCGGTTACCTGCCCGACCACAGGGGTTTTCTCCGGATACTCCGGCTTTCTCCCACACTGAGAATAAAACCCTTTGCGTGATTGAAATAAGGTGGGGAAAAACCGTTTGATAATTTATATAGAAAAGGGCATATTACATATTTGACGATAAGTCTATAAAAGTAAATGTATGGAGATGTTAGTTAAAATAATGAAATTAAAAAAGAAAACATTGTAATACTTTGATATATTTACATTCTGTATGCTTAGACCCATTGACAAAAATTACATTCATAAATGCATAACACAGGTGTTCATAGAATCTCAGCACGTGGGAACTGATAGTAACCTGATCACACTGCGTAGTAATACACTACAAAAACTACTCACTCGGAACGACCGACCTAGATGCTTAATTCTTACATCTTAAAATATTATTGAACTGTGCTTTGTGAAATATCCACGTATTCACGTGTCCTGTGCTACAAATAAACATTGAATATGGAACTACATTTTGTTGTGTTATTGTTGTTGACGGTTGCTAAGATCTCTCACGATAGTGTCACATTTCCCCGCGAAAAAACACTGTTCTCGCCACTGCGTTGCACCCGTGTATAAGCAGGAACAAACCCTGTTTATTTGTTTTATTCGTTGTTATATCGATCCACTGAAAGGATTCGTCAATGTAAATATAAGGAATGATATTTATTTTTTCAACATTTATGAGGTCATAACAACAATGGGTTTTTGGACATATTTTACATGAATCGCGTTAAAAATCATTCCTTAAGTAACTGAGATTATCGTTATATCGATATTTATAATTCCTGTTCCATCCTAAAACACCGGATTGAATTTAAAATTGTGTAACTGTCACTGAGTTTGACAGGTAAAAATGCCAAA